TTCTAGACCTCTGGGTCTCGGCTGGGGAATTCTGGGAGTTGAAGTCCGCATGTGTTGAGGAACAGACGGGTCCATAGACGTCACTTCTGGAACTGTAGGCCTTGGCAGCGGTTGACATGGGATTTCTTAAATTTGTCATCTATTTCCTCTACTCCTCTGAAGCTCGGAAGCCCTCAACAGAAATGCAAGCGGCTCTCCCTGGTGGTGGATGTCTCCGGCAGCATGTACCGCTTCAACGGCGTGGACCGACGGCTGGAGCGATCCATGGAAGCTGTTTGCATGGTTATGGAAGCCTTCGAGAACTATGAGCAGAAATTTAAGGTGACCCTCAAGAGGGAGCCAGATTCGAACCTGTTGTGGGTCCATAAGTTGCTTAGGGGAAAAGAGTTGGCTTCCTTCGTCCCAGATCTCACCAAGTCTCAAAACTGATCAGATATTGGATGAACAGACTGGTGTCTTAAGCGTTAACACTTTTTAGTAAACTTAATACAAGTAGTCCTCGAATTATGACACCTATCGAGGCCAAAATTTCTGTTGCCAAGCCAGGCAGTTGTTCACTGAGTTTTGTCCCAATTTTACAACTTTTCTGGCCACATGTTCTGACTGAGGCTTCCCCAACAGCACGAAGCTGACTCCTTGTCCTGATAAACCCCTTTTATTTCATTTACAGTGAATTCCTCTCCAGCAAAGTCCCGCCAACAGTCTTTCAAGATATTTCACGATTACAGACCTTTATCAGGTTTGGAGAGTTGCCAGGCCGATATCTTTCAAACGCCACATGGTAGAAGACAATACTTGGCAAGAATGCAGGAACCCAAATGAACTAACTGTCTCCTGTAAAAGCCCACTCCGCTTTCGCTCCTCTTTTATTCCCTATGGGAGGAGCCATTTCCCTTCCACCTGAGCCTTTACTCCTAAGTCGACTCTTGTTCCTTAGCTGTTCTCTTCTCCTGGCAGCTCTGTGCATGCGCACACTGGGAACAGGCTCCAGCTGTTCTTCTTCCCCACTGATCTCCAACTCCGAAGGCAGCTGATAACTGTCAGACAGCCCTGGCCCCATCTCTGCCTCCGACGCAGAGCCCTCATCCGAGCCTTCCCCAAATTCTGGGATTGACCCATGTTCCTCCCCAACCTCCTCACTGTCTGAATCTGATGCCATCTCTGCTGGCCACTGGTGGACCACAACACCACATTTGTTAAGTGAAACACTGCAGTCGTTAAGTTAGCAACCCAGTTGTTAACCAAATCCAGCTTTTCCCGTCGACTTTGTTCATCAGAAAGTCACAAAAGGGGTCGCTGCAACTGTCATAAGTATGAGTCAGTTGCCAAGCCTCTGAATTTTGATCACGTGACTGGGGGTGGTGGTGGATGCGGCTACAGCCGTAAGGATGAAAAACAGTCTTAAGTCCCTTTTTGTTTTCACTGCTGTCGTAAGCTCGGTCACTAAATGAACAGTTGTAAGCCGAGGATTTACCCGGATGTCATTTGGCATGTTAGCAAAGAGATTTTCCCCATCACAAGAATCAAAGGTGATGGTGGATTGGTAGAGAAACCCAGGCTGCAAAAGTTGAACCTTGGATCTTTTCGTGACTTGAAGATGCGGCTTTGAGATCTTAGCTGAAATCTTTTCCCCACGCAGTACAACATCCTCGGCCACTCGGGAGACGGATTCAACATCGCCCTGGTTCCCAACGACAACGTGCCAAAGGACAATAAGCAAAGACTAGAGATTCTAAAGGTAACTGTTTTTGCTAATTTCATGAAATATGTTAACAGATTTCTTATTGCTCCAATTCCAGGAGAGGGAAGAATTCCAGGGTTGCTGGAATTGGGTACGTCTAGTTGGATGAAAAGAAGGACCGGGGGTGACATGATAGCATCTTCCGATATCTCAGGGGCTGCCCCAAAGAAGAGGCAGTCAAGCTATTCTCCAAAGCCCCTGAGAGGGCAGGACAAGAAGCAACGGGTGGAAACTAATCAAGGAGAGAAGCAACCTAGAAATAAGAGAATTTTCCTGATAGTTAGAACAATTAATCAGTGGAACAATTTGCCTTCAGAAGCTGTGAGGGCTCCATCAGTGGAGGTTTTGACGAAGAGATTGGACAACCATTTGTCTAAAATGGGGTAGGGTTTCCTGTCTGAGCGGGGGTGGGTGGGGTTGGACTATAAGACCTCTAAGGTCCCTTCCAACTCTGTTTATTCTATTCTATTCCATTCTGCATTCTATTCTCAATAAAGATTCTAATTCTATTCCCAATAATGATTCTATTCTATCTATTCCCAATAAAAATTCTATTCTATTCTATTCTATTCTATTCCCAAGAAAGATTCTATTCTATTCTATTCTATTCTATTCTATTCTATTCTATTCTCA